GGCTGCTGTGTAGCTAGCATCTCCCCGTGTCTCCAAGGCACCTGAGCCCCTGAAGGGTGCGGGTGCGGGCAGACCAGCAGAGTGTGTCGAAGGTGCAAATCAAAGAACAAATGTGATTTTTCAAAAAGCAGAACTGTGAGACCTGCAGTCTATATTCTTTCTGTCGTGAAGACTGAGTTGGGATTCATCTGTGAATCATGTAGCTCCCTCCCCATTTTTGCTACAGAATTAATATATCCTCTGTCAGGTTTCTCATAAATGTTATAGTAGCCTTTTGTGGAAACCTTGAAACGTGTTTCTCATTCCAAAAGGTGCTTATATTTAGAGGACCCAAAATGCGTGGCTACTTTCCCCCCTTTTCTTCTTTTCCTTCGGATGCTGGTTGACCCCACATCCACCAGGCTCCTCACCCAGTGAGATTTCCATGACCTCTGACCACCCCAGACACCTCCCAGAGGGTGGAAAACACACCAGTTGTAGGGGAGCCCAGTGGATAATAGTAAATATTTGTTCAGCTTTTCTCAACAATTCAGAACCAAACCTCATCCTGTTCTCTTCAATGCATTAAGCAGATTTTCTTAAAATTCGGTAAATATTTTTAGTGGAAAATCTCAATGCTCTGATGGTGGGACCTCAGATTTTATCTGCGGGGCTGTGCTACTTGGCACGGCTTTGATCTGCCACTCGCCTTCTCCTCATATGTGCAGCAGCAAGCGCGGGGCTGTTTCTGCAGGACTCCTCACCTTCAGGTCCTGTGTTTCCGCACCCTCCATTGCCCACCATAGTGGGAGCCAGAGGAAACATGGATACATGTTGGTGAAAAGCAGTCTTTTTCAGTAAAAAGTTCCCAAGTGATTATGAATTTGAAGGGTCGTGCTCTGGACAGCCTGGTTCTCTCTTTCTCCCCTCTCCCCGCAGTTCAACTGTTTTTGCTTGTATGTGAGGGTGGGAAGGGTGGAGCCAAGGGAATGAGGAGTGCCCCCTCCCCAGCCACAGCTCTCCCGTGTGGTGTGACTCTACGAAGCCTGGTGGTTGTGTGGGTGTCCCATGTTGTGTATGATGAGTGACAGTTGCGGGAGGATCCCCTGTAGGATGGGTGACAGTTTGTGGGAGTCCCGGGTTATGTAGGATGAGTGATAGTTGTGTGGTGTCCTGTGTTGTGTAGTGTGAATGATAGTTGTGTGGATGTCCCATGTTGGGATAAATCGCAGTTGTGAGAACGTCCTGTGTTGTGTAGGGTAATAGCTGAGGTGGGGCAGCTGACTGACCACAAACCTTTGTTTTTTATTTTTTTTATTTTGTTCTGTTGTTTTTGTATTTATCTCTCATCTACAGAACTGCATTTTCCAACTGGAGCCCTGAATTTTATAAATAGAACTCAGCAAGTGTCCAGTTGGAATGAATACAACATTCACACTTGTGTATTTTTGATATTTTTATTAATCAGATATGTTGAGACCATAAATCATCCAAAGCCTATCGTTCTTCTCCTAAGTAAAGAATGTCTAACAAGAGAATCCACCTTCTTTCAGACTTCTCAGTGCTCATGTTTTTTGAAGTTTGGTGGTGGGGGCGGGGTGTGTATTTGTGTGCTGTTGTGTTTCCATGCACTGGCTCTCAGGGACCCTTCCCGGCCAGGGTTTCCTGAAAAGCATGTTGGGAAAGCAGAACTGGGAGCTTCGCTGCCAACAGCTCATTCTGGAGCCACTGCCGTGGTCCTGGCCACTTGGCCAATCCTGGCCCCAGGGGCTCTCAGGCCTCGAGAAGTTAAGAAATAGGAAAATTGAAGACATTTCTACCAGGGTGGAGCCGGCCACCAAATTTTTTTTACAGCACACACTGTGGTAAACCATCGGGTTCATATTGTTTTTGCTAAAGGCAGTCCTGTGTGTGGTTTCGGTGCACCGCTTGGGTAACTGTTGAAACTGCTGCGGTTTGAAATAAGCCCTATTTTGTCTTTTCTTCAATCTTGTGTCCTTCTCTTGTTCGTGAAAACTTAGTGTTGGAGAATCACTGTGGGTGCCAAGTCAGCAGCCTGCAGCCCCCTGGGGGGGTCTCTATTTCGTTTTACTTTGGTCACCTCCTTCTGCTACACTCTGGTCGGTGGTTCCCTCGGCAGAAGTCTAGGGATGTGACACCAAACTGTGCGTGCCAGGCATCATTCTGGATAGCTTTTGTACCAATTTTCGAAAGATTTTTGTTCTCTTCTCTGAAACATTCCTCAGTCATGATCCTTTCTCGTGGTATCTGGAACCATGAAAAGACATTAAACTGCAATGAATTTGCTCAGGGACATGGAGGCAAATTAAAGTTATTCTGTCACGTTTGAGATAAGCTACACCTCAGAAAATCGGAAAAATGAGTAAGGAGTTAGCAGAAGTGGTTACATAAAAGCAGGAACTAGACCCAGAATGTTTTAAAAGTGCAGTTGCTAAAAATAAGTGGGATGCAGAGAGGGAAGTTTGGGTTCAGGGCTGTCCTGGCATGTGTCCTCAGAAAGCCTCTGGTCACAAGCAGAATGTCACCCGAACTGGGAACACCCCCGATTTTGCAAGTGTCATGTACAATAATAATTCAGCCTCATGCTGAAGCACAAAAACAGACAACCGAGAAAAAACCGTTGTTGTTTTTCTCCCCTCTGAAAGCAAGAGCAGTTGATGTGCCCTGGTTTCATATTAACACAGTCATGATTTCTAAATAACAACGGTTTCGGCAACAGCAAAACCAGGCATGAGCAATTCTTGATGTGAATGATGCTTTTCATCTCCCCATCGTCTCTTTGCTTGTCAGAAACCTCAGCTTCAAATCCCAGCAGGCTGGAGTCTTACAACCCCCATCCCCACACCCCACCCCACAAAAGCAATTTGAAAAAACAACTGAGGGAGGAAGTTCTTAATTAAAAAGAAAAAAATCACAATAGGGGGAGATGTACTTTTGGATCTCTGGCTGGGGTCAGTTGACCTCCTTATCCTGCTCAGACTCTGTCCTTTGTGACCGACCAGACCCTGCAAGGAGTGCTCCAAAAGTCAGGCACCTGCCCCCGGGACTTGCTGCCGGAACCAGAGGCTGTTCCCTACCCTGGGGCTCTCAACCTGTCCCCAGCAACTCTTACTTTCCCCCCACCGTGTTAGAATTCTGATATTTGGTCCACTATCATTTTAGTTTTTGGTAAAAAATTAGCCTAAGAATACACCAGTGAATATTGCTCTTTCTTGCAAAGGAGGGAAGCTAGATGTCCTTTAGTCCCTCCTAGCTTTTTAGAGCAGTTCCCTCAAAGGGCCTTGAGTCCCTCGGGAGGGTCCTGTGGAACCTGTATGGTGGTGCCTGGCTCACATGTTACCCCCCAGAGGGCTGGCTGGAACCAGGGATAGGGCGGGATTTATTGGTACCTACAGTATGCTGAGCTCCACCACCCACATGTAGCCGACCCTTGAGGACCCTCAGGTGTGCTGGAGGCTAGACCGGGACAGAAGTCAGTACCATGGAAGGTGGCCAAGGCAGTGGGGTGGCTGCAGGGGAGAAGTGAGCCAAGGGGAAAGGGAAGGTGTGAGAGAGACTAGCTAGGCAGTCAGGACGGTAGAAATGGCTATGGAGAGGAGACCGGGTTGGCCAGGCCATGAGGTCAGCATTTGTTCCCTGTGTGACCCAAGCCTGCATCCCCATCCCTCTGGATGCTATCTCCCAGGGCACCCCTGCCCATGGGTTTTGGTGTCCTCGCTCACACTGGCACAGAAGTGGCCTCAGGTGCTCCAGAACACACACACATACCCGTCCCTCCAAGTGTGTTTTGTGTGAGAACATGTGTGTCTATCTGTGATTGAGCCTTGGATGGTGCCACTGCCTGAGGTTTGGTGTTCTCCCCAAGGCACCTCTTCCAGGGCTTTAGGGCCTCTGAGCCAGCCACCCCACAAGAGCACCTTTTGCATGTCCTCTCCTGGGGGTGACACCTGCCATCCTCACACATGGTGCTGCTCTGCAGTGGGGAAGGGGTGCAGAGGGTTGGAGGAGACTGGATGGGAACTGGGACAGGGAACTCTGCAGACACTAGGTGGGAGGGCCTGTGGAGTGGCCCAAGGAGAGGGTGCCCACATTTATCTGAGTACCGCTGGCAGAGCAGAGAGCTGCAGTTGGAGTCCTCAGTTTCCTTTTAGGGTTCTTGGGGTGCTCAGCTGGTCTGACTTCCAGGCGGTGGAGCTGCTCTGGCCTGGCTCCAACTTCCAGGGGTCTGGAGCATCCCTCATTCTCACATATGGCTTGCTTACTGCCTGCCAGGCATCAGAGCCAAACATCTCCATGCCAGGGGGATGCAGTTTTCTTGTAAAGGCCAGATAATCAATATATTTTTAGCCTTGCAGGCCTTACGTTCTCCATCCCAAGTGCGCAGCTCTCTTGCCTTGAATGAAAGCAGCACAGAGGACCATAAACAAACTGGCACAGCTTATTGGCATTGGTGGACCATTAAAACATGACTTAGAAAAGCAGGTGGACCAGTGTGGGCAGACTCCCGCTCTGAGCCATACTGCACAGGCAGTCACAGGCCTATTACCCCTGAGTGAGTCTGCTGGGGCTGCCATGACTGGGCAGCTAATACCACAGACATTTATTGTTTCACAGTTCTGGAGGCTGGAAGTATGAGATCAAAGTGTCAGCAGGGTTGGTTTTTCCTGAGGCTTCTCTCCTTGGCACTGCCTCCTTCTCCTGTGCCCTCCTCACATGGTCTCCCCACTATGTATCTGTGTCCTGATCTCTTCTTATAAGGACACCAGTCAGATTACGGCCCATGTAATGACCTCATTTTAACTTAATTACCTCTTTAAAGGTCCTCCAAATATAGCCACATTCTGAGGTCCTGGGGTTGAGGATCTCAACATGAGTTTGGGGAGGGGCGCACAATTCATCCCACAGGAACCCCATTTCATGGACTCTGTTCTGTCTGTGGTCAGTAACTTGTATTTCTTTTTTTTTCTCCTTTTTTTTTTTCTGTCTCCTGAACTTTCCAGGTAAAAGTACACCTGTAAGCCAGCTGGGTTCTGCAGACTTTCCTGACTCCCCCGATCCATTCCAGCCACTCGGGGCTGACAGCAGTGACCCGTTCCAAAATAAAAGGGGGTTTGGGGACCCGTTTAGTGGAAAAGATCCATTTGCTCCCTCCTCTTCAGCTAAGCCTTCTAAAGCCTCTTCCCTGGGCTTTGCAGACTTCACCTCTGTAAGTTGAGTTCTCTGTCTCCCTGCTACCCCCTCCCCCTCCGCTTGCAGCTTCTTTGGGGCTATTTTTTTGGCTTACGTTTCCTGGTACCTCATGCCATTACCTGTGTTATTTATTCTGTACTGGTGCTTTCTGTAAGAAAAAAAATGTTTCTCAATAAAAAAAAAAGCGCTATGGTTTGGATACTCTGTGATGAGGGCACATGTCCTTCCAGCATGGTGGCCCAGTCTGATGGCCGCATCTGTCCATCTGTCTTTCCCTCTCCCTGTTGACTCTCTGTATTGTTTCTCTCGCCTGGAGACTGTTGTGTTCATTGATTTTTGGAAGCTGAGATGTCAGACACTTCCGAAGTATTAAAATAAGATTGCAAAAGTTACATTAGGATCTTGCTGTCCCCAAAAGGTCTCTGTGCAGGAGTTCTGACTGTCCCACCTCTGCATTTTATGCAGCAAGTACAAATCGAAGGACCAGGGGGGTGCATGAAGGAAGAGCAGTTTGGTTTTTCAAAAACTTATTTCAGTTACCAGCTCTGATGAAAAGAGAAATCCAACCTAGAACAACCACTCTGAAGTTCTGCCCTTTTGCCAACCTCCCCGCTGCCCCCCCAAACCCTCAAAAAGCCATTTAAAAGCAAATTCAAGTGCCTTTTCAGAATTCTGGCTGTTTCTTGGTATGAAGAAAGACTCCAGATTATAAAATGCTGTCACTTTAGGGTGTTTTTGGCACCCTCATCAGTACCCAAACATCTAGTTCTCAGAGAGCTTCAGAGTTTGTCTTCCCAGAATCGGTTTTACTGTCTGTTGTGCACCCATGTTTTTAAAAGAAGTTTTCTTTGTTCAGATTTGCCAAGTACCTTGTTTCCTGGTTAGGTGTGACATGCATTATTTATAGATGCTTTGACTCCTAGAATATCCTTCTTAAAACAAGCTCTGCCATCCATATCCATGCCCCGTGAACGCCCAATTCATTTCAGATCCACCTTGTGCCCAGCTATCCTGTGGCTTATTGAAGCCTCCCAATACGCTGCTATGTTCCTGGCTCTTGGCAACCTGTAAATATTTTACAACTGCAGTTAGCTCGTTTTTGTTGACAGCCTGTGCACACTGTGGATGTGTACAAATGGAGACATTGTTAATAAAAGCCAGAAACAAAACCCTCTTTATCTACAGTTTCTTGAATAGCACTGCGTTTGTTTCGGTGGAAAAAATATTAAATGCTAATGAAAAAAATAGAGCCATTCATGCATGACTCAGGTACTCTGTTTTGGGCAGGGCAGAGGGGTGAGTGGATTTGAATGGCAATTTGAAGAAATGACTGTTCTCTTTCTGAAATGCATAGATCTATTTCCTGTGGCCCCCCTGCACCCCTCCTGGAAACTGAGTTTTGGAAAACATTAAAAAAAAAATACCCAAGATTTTAAGCTATCATTTGGCTCAACACTTCTGGTCATTCCAGAACACTTGTTAACTTTGATTTTAAAATATTCCCAGTATTTAATCACCCTCATTTCCAGGCGGGAAATCTGATTCTACCCAGTTGAGTTTGCAGCTCTGTTTTTTCTGTTTAAAATTACCTTTCCCACTTCAGATGCCCAGTTTTTCCACTGGAAATCAGTGAGATTTGGCCCCCTCTGATGGGATGGGGTGGAGGAGAGACAGGACACCTAACTGGTTTAGTTTGTTCCCCTCGGTCATACCATAGTCCAAACCATCAAAACCTGTCCCTCTCTGGGGACCCAGGATGTCTTTGCATTTTCATGGCATCTGGGGGTTCAGCCCATCAGCCAGTGGTTTCAGGGTTCACTGGACCTTAATTTGTGCTAACTCAAAGAAGGCCAAAGGGGGTTCCTCTGGTTTGTATATTTTAGCTCCTCGAATAAACACAAGGGTGTTTAATGGCCCAGCAGACTGGCAGTGTGACTTTCAGATCAGATGTTCTGAGTGCTGCCAAGATGTGGTATTACCTGTGCAAAGGTAGCTTGGCCCATTTTGGAGTTCGGGCACCAATGTCACACGTGCACACGGTCCCCCTTTGGCACCCCAGCCCTGCCAACCTAGAACCCTCTAATTTTCAAGCCCTAAGTTTCCATTAATGGGTTACTTGTGCTTGTGCACGGGAAATCTCTCCAGGATTTCTTTAAAAACCCGCCTTCTGTCTCATGTGAATGTGTTTATTAGGAAGTTGTATTTATAGATTAACAAAACAGTTCTTTTTTCCGGACGTCTGCATTGAGAGCAGAGCAAATGTCAGATGGGATAAGCTTTGCATTGTGGAGTGAGTTGGATGCAATTTCAACATCAGAATAAGTGAGTTAATGGCAAGTAACTAGACGTGTCCCCTCCGGTGATGTGGTAGCAGTGCTGTTAGATTTCTCAGGGTGCAGATGTCTGCCCCCACTGAGGAATGACACCTTGTCCTCATGTGAGGAGTTATCCAAATCATGGATTGATCAATAAAACTGTCTAGCATTCATCCTGAGCGGGCTTCCTCAGGCAGGAGTCTTGGAGGTCAGCAGCATCCTCATGCCCCACTGTGTCTCAGCCTCTTGATGGCACAAGAATGATAAAGAGATCAGAGCTGCCACAGGCATCCCGAATTCTGGCCCATCATGTGATACCTCCAGGTCAGAGAACTAGAGAGTTGCCTTGTCCAGGTGTCTTCACCAGGGCCTAGAAAGGATTGTCAGCTGATCTGAGGCACAGAGATAACCCCCCCTCCAGTTTTCTTTTGGACATCACAGTCCACGATGCTTCTCCAGTGTGTGTGCACCACATGCTTAATTCAAGTCTTCACAGTGGGGCTTAAGCTGTCCTTGAACCAGTTCACTCAGAAGGCTTCTGGAATGTTTCTATCAGCATGTTTCATTTGAAAATGCAGACCCTTGAGCAGGCAGCTCTGAGAAACTCAGGCTGAGTGGGGACCGTGGGGAACCAAGGCCTTGGTTCCAGGCTTTGATCCGGATAACCCATGTCATTACTTGTCAGCCCCCACCCACCCCTCCTTTGGGCAGGCAGAGGGCAGGGTCCCTGTCAGTGGACCCTGACAGGGTCCTCTACTGTCAGCAGCACCCTGGAGTCATTTCCACCAGCATTTGTTGTTTTTTCCTTGTTTTTCTCCTGTTGAGGTATTGGAAAATACCCCACAGAGTGCAGGAGGTGATGGGGCTTATCTCTGACCAGTAGTGGAAACAAGGGGTGGGGACCAATTTTCAGGGAGACCCATTCAACCCCTGCGCATTTTTATGGGCAGTTTCTCTAAGAAACAAAGACTTAACCTTTCCTTCCAGAACTTCATGCCGACTCCCGAAGCCAGGTAGGGAGAGGCCTCCTGGGCTGCCCACCTCTTCTTCCAGGACACCTCTGCTCTAAATTAGACTTCCTCCATCCACCCCTCCCCACTCCCCTGCCTGGGTCCGCACCATCTGGCCCTGTCTCACTCCCACACTGGCCATCGAACCATGAATCATTGCAAACTGCCAGTTCGATCACCCCCCTTGCTGGCCCAAGGAGCTTCTAAGGGGAACTCTCAGCTCCTTTCTGGGGCCTACAAGCCTGTCTCGGTCTAGCCCCTCCCACCCCAGCCTCTGTTCTGGCAGCTCCAGGGTTGGGTGCTTGGTCCCTCCATACCCAGAGCCACAGGTGGACCCTCGAGGCCTGGGTACCATCCTGTACCCAAACTCTTCATGCAGCAACAACTGACAGCCCCCTTCCCCCCAGGATGCTAAGGACTTGGGTTCCGCAGCCCCCTCCCCCTCCCCAAGCCTTGGTGCTTCTATCTGTCTCAGTATCCCACCTCCTGGGTTGTTATTTGGATTCAGTGTGCGGACTGTGTGTGCGTGTGTGTGTGTGTGTGTGTGTGTGTGTGATAGAAGTAGCTGTGAATTCCTGTCACAATTCCTTTTCCCAGTACCCTGGTGGGACCTCCAAGGACCTCCACAGGAGCCTGTGTTGGATTAGGATTATCTATCTGTCTGTGCCCTTGGGCGTCTGTCAGAGAGCCAGCTGCCTCTTTATCTCTGGTGTCACCCAGTGCTTGCAGAGTCAGTGCTGAGAACAGAGATTCTGTCTAAGGGAGGCCAAGGCCCGGAACAGGCGACAGCTTTGCTCGTGTGTCAGGGCCCACGGGGCCAGAGGCCTCTCACTGGGAGACGGAGCAGAGTGACTGGAGACCTCGTGGGGAACTCTGGGGGAGCCAAGCGCCCACGCCAGGAGGAGAGCATGTGAGATCTGGCTCTTCTTTTCTTTCCTTAGAGCTAAGGACCTCAAATGGTTTGAAATCACCCATCTTGGAATCATTACTGTTTTCTCCCTTATTTGAAAAAAAAATTTTTTTTTAAACTGAACCTTTCGGAGGATGCCAACAATGAAAACCTTGTGGACTGAGTGGCAGCATAAATGCCGGGGCACCATCCTAAGCGAGCCGGAGCGAGCCTGGGCGGGAAGAGATACCACATTTCAAGACCGTTGTCTCCACACTTTTGGCCTCCAGACATTTTACACATTTGAAATCAGAGATCTGTTCAAGCCAGACTCTGCAGTCCCAGCGCCTGTCACCCACCAGCATCAGCAGCCTGCCATCAAGGCTCAGGTTTTGCAGGCTCGCCATCCTAGCTCTTTGGGGTTCAGTTGGCCTCTGTTCCCCGGATGCTTTTAGAGACACTCCACTGACCCCAGAGGAGGCTGAGCAGGGGCTTCTCCCATGCTCGTGAAACATAGACTCAGTCCTGGGGGATTGCTGGAGTTCTATCCGTGTCCCCACACTCATGGGTTGTGTTGCCTGCTTCAGTTCCCTGCAAGGGATAGGTGGCTAGTTTCTCTGAGGTCCAAGGTGGCAGTTAAGGTCAGACTCAGCCCTGCTTCTCTGTGCATGTGACCACCCCTTCCAGACTGGGTGTCAGGGCTGGGGCGTGCATGTCCCCTCCCCACCCCCAACCAAGAGTCAAGCTTTTGGCTTTTTCTAGTTTTTCACCACCACCATCCCCCTGTATCCCAGCATTGCGTGCAGTTCCCTGCTCCCTGCCCACCTTTGACAGGCCTTTTCTGGGTCTCCTCCCCTGTCCCCATGCCCCCTGCCCCCTGCTCCCCAGCCGGTGGCTGCAGCTTCTAGGCCATATAACCCAACCTTCGTTTTTCCTTTGCAGTTTGGCAATGAGGAGCAGCAGCTGGCATGGGCCAAGCGAGAAAGTGAGAAGGCGGAGCAGGAGAGGCTGGCAAGGCTGCGGCGGCAGGAGCAGGAGGACCTGGAGCTGGCCATCGCGCTTAGCAAGGCTGACATGCCCGCCGCCTAGGCGAGGGTGACCAAGCACGTTCGCAGGGGCAGGAGTGCCATGGGGGCGGGTCTTCAAAAGGAAAAAAACCCGAAGTCTGTATATACACACACACTCTCAGCAGTCCCCGTTTCATGTTGTGACGTGTCACAGCCACTGTAGGTCAAGGACTTGCTGGTCAGAAGGCCTCAGGCTCTGGGTGCCTCGTCCCAGGTGAGGAAATGTGGCTCACCCTGCAGAAAGGCCTGGAAAGGCACAGGCTACCGTCACCACCTCTCCACTGTGACATCCCTGTCTAGTGACAGTGCTCTGCCTGGAACGAGCAGAGGGAGTGTGCAGCGTCTCCAGGCCTTCCATACTCTGCTCATAGCTGCTTTGAGTACCAGCGCCAGGGCACATCCACCCTGTCGCCTCTGAGACCTAAGACAGACACCTGGCAATGTATGCATTCGTTGTATAAAAATTAAGTTTGAATGATTAATATAAAATATTTTAATACAAAACACAAGAATCTCTTCTTCCCTTTTATTTAAACATTGTTTTCCTTGCATTAGTGTTCACGCATGATGTCACAGAGGCAGACCAGCCCCACAGTGATGTGGAGAGCTGGGTTGAGTGTTTCTGTTCAGATCCTGTTTGAGTAGATTGTAGGGCCACAAAAAAAGCCAATGTTTGAAGTTTTCATCAGTCGCCCTGTCCCCCAAGGAGTCAATCCTTTGTCACCTCACAGCTCTTTGAAGAGATTCCTGCATACAGTTTACTGATCTGCATGAGGGGCAAGGCCACAGGACAGTCTTCACACTGTGAGCTTGGAATCTGGAGACTGGGAGAGCTTTCCACTAGAACACAATTGAATCCCCCTAGAACATTCCAGAAGCTTTGACATAACTGTTTGGATGACCTCAGGACATGCTGAGGACATTGCAGACTTGGTCCTGTTTTACTTTTCACTGTCCCCAGGCAGACAAGACATCCTAGGCCAACTTCTCTCAGGTAAAGAAGATAAAGATTTGAATCTGAGTGGCCTGAACACAGCCTTGGAACAGCCTTTATCCAGAGAAACCTTCAACCCCAAAACTGCAAGAAGGGGGCGAGATGCCAACGCCAGGAATAGACCCAGAATATTACAGAATCGGCCTTTGCTGGAAATCCTGCGGCACACACAGCCCCAGCCCCATCTGAGTTAGATCCTGGAAGCCCTTTTGAAAAGTTTCTTCTTGGTCTGTTGTGCGTGTGTGGGTTCCAGTCTCTGCTTTGTCCCCTTCCTTCTCGAGCTAGGACAGGGCTATTGACTACACCCAACTCCCTGCATGGTAGCTCTCAGCTGCCTGATTCCAGTGCTTTATCCCAGCCAGGAAATCATTCTGAGGGTCAGTCAGCCCTCCACGGCCGAGGAGCCTGTATCCATGAATTCAGCCAACAGTGGGTAGAATATACTGGGGGGGATGTTACGCTGTTGCTGACATGCACTGTCACTACACCTGTGCGTCTGTACTGAACATGGACAGGCCTTTCGGTCATTATTCTCTAAGCAATAATGTGACAGCCATTTACATGCCACCTGCATCGTGTTAGGTATTACAAGTAGCCTAGAGCCGACTTCAAGCATACGGGAATATGTACATAGATTACATGTGAACACTACACCATTTTATATAAGGAACTTGGGCATCCGGGGCTTTTGGTATCTGTGGAGGTACTAGAATTAATCCCCTGTAGATAACAAGGGACAACTATTTATTTATTTGCTTGGCTTTGCACTTTAATTTTACTTTTCAGAACCAATTTTTCCATTTCCAGAAAAATCCCAAAGATACTACAGAGTTCCCAAAAGGCCCTCACAGTTTCCCCTAATTTTAACTTCTTATGTTTGTATGGTATATTTGTTATAGCTAAGGAACCAATATTGAGACGTTATTATAACTAAAGTCCATACATTATTCAGATTTCCTCAGTTTTTCCTAAGTGTCCTTTTTCTGTCCCAGTATCCCATGTTACATTTAGTCATCCTGTCTCCTTAGGTACCTCTGGGCTGACACAGTTTCTGGGACTTTCTTGCTTTTGATGACCTTGACAGTGCTGAGGAGAAGTGACCAGTGCAGTGACTCTGGTCTAGGGCCTGGTGCAAGGCTTATGGGCTTCCTAATCCTCTCTGGAAGAGTAAGCAGCTTCCAGAATGTGGCTGGAGGTGATTCCTAAGGCTTCCGCCTCCCGTGCAGGAACCACCAGAATAAATCTGTAAGCTCTGTGCCACCTGTCCCTACCATTGTGGCCCTTTAGGAATGGCACCATATCACCTCTCTCCAAGGTGTTTATAGCTCTGTACTTAAACATGAGGCCAACACTATTTGATGAAAACCTCACAGTTTTCAGAGCCATTCAACTTCTATCATTTTGTTCTAACCTCAGAGCAACTTCATAGGTTAGGATGGGGTGTTAGCCCATTTTCCTGATGGGAAAACCAAGGCCCAGTCTGCAGTTATTTGCCCAGAGCCTCAAAGCCAGCCAGTGGTGGTGGCTCAGCATTTGCCTGGTCTTAGAAAAGCTTTGTTTCTTTGTAGCCCGCTGCTTCTTGACATACCCATGTACCCAGAAAGAGGCTCTTTATGTCTTAGAAATGGAAGACCATACATTGAACTGAAGACCATGCAATGAATTGAAATAGTTCTTACCCAGGGGAATGGGATGGGCTTCAACGTTTGTGTATTTTCCTTGTTTGTTTTTGTCCATGACTTTTTCATCTGATTCTTAGAGGTTCCCAGTCTGCCCCCCACCAAAAAGGGTTATGAGCCAGTTTTAAATCTTGTGTCCTTCCCCAGCCACACATACACATAGACACGCCTGTACACACATCTGCTGTGTACACAATCAACTTCAGATGCACCAGTCCATCCTCACTCCCACAGGCTCTATTCTGCCTCTTCCTTGGCAGAGAACACTCACACCCTTTCCTGAAAAACAGAGTATCTAGTTTGAAAAAAAATGTATTATGAAAACCTCCAAACATAATAGTAGCACGAAGAGCAGCGCAATAAATCCCCACACCCATCTCCCAGCATCAACTGTCATTTTGATTTTGCCACTTTACACTTCATCGGTCCCTTTCTTCCTTTCCTCCTTTTGGCAGATGTGCCTTAAAACAATTTGGTCGTGATGTCATTTTACCCATCCACGTTCAAGTACGTGTTGTTAAGAAATGTGGCACCTTCCCCCATAACCACCGTGCCGTGATCACACCTAACAAAATGAAAAGTAACACCCTCTTTCTGTCAGTGACATCTTCAGATGAGCGGCAACTTTTGATTTTGTAATATTGACTTACTGCCCTAATGGTTGGAAGCCTTTGTCCCCTTAGGAGGTGACATCCCTGGCTGCCACCTGTGGCAGCTGACTCCCCACCCACGAAAGGTCCAGTGATCCAGCTTCAGCTGCAGTTGGGCCAGAACCCAAGGGCTCAGGATACCTGGTCTTAACATCATTTTGGAAAAAGAATGACTGATTATCTATGACTTGCTCCAAGTAAACGAAATCACATCTTCAAAGTCAATTTCATAAAGTACACTCAAGTCCTGGAACAGTTGTGGAAAGCTATTTTTAAAACAGGAAGTGTCTGAGAAACAAAGAACCTGCCTCTTGAAATAATGGAGTAAATATTTCTGCTCCCTTATCAGATCTGGTTCCTTTGAAACATGGTCTTTTTTTTTTCTTTCCAAAATTTCCCCCAGTCCAAGTTACCAGGAGCTGTACAATTTGTATCATGAGCTGTTGTTGGAAAAATATAAAGGGAAATGGAAATGTGATCCTTATCACAAGCATATTCCAAAGAAATTACGTGATGTGGGCTTGCATGGTTCGAGTTGTGTTTATGTTTAGTGGATCTTTAAATATCTCTTTGATTTGCTTTCTGGTGGCTGTGCTGTGTGCGCACTCTGACTCATGACCTTGAGCGCACTACCTAAACTCTCAGGGCCTCAGTTTACTCATTTGACCAAGGAGGTTGGACCTGACCACCAGTGAAGCTCTTAAAGTTCTTAAGATTATTATTCAAGTTTCTAGAAAGGCTTATATTTTAGGATTTCAGGTAACATGAAAGAAAATGGAATAGATGTCATCCGTGCTAGCCTCATCTTTAACATTTTGTCCACATATAAACACTATTATATTATAATCATCAAACTTGCTAAGAGACTGCAACTTAAGTATTCCAACTACTAAAAAGAAATGACAAATATGTAACATGATAGAGATGCTAATTATCGCTACAGTGGAAATCCTGTATACATACAATATATAAATGTATCAAATTGACATGTACACCTTAAATTTAAGCAATGTTATGTGTCAAATATATTTTATTAATAAAATATTTTGTTCACTCTTGATAACCATTTGGTAGCTAAGGGAGAAATGCTAGTTTAAATAAATATAGTAATAGAATAGAATATATCAATGATATAAATTATATCAATATCAATAATATATAATACATCAATATAATTATATATTTATATAAACTTTAAAAACTTGTATATTAGTTTAATAAATGAACAAATCTGTGACTTTCCAATGGTTTTCCTACATTAACCTTCAACTAAAGCCAGAGAGTCCTCTCTGAGGACCAGAAGCAGAAAGACTTCAGAGATAGTGGTCTGCAATGAATATTGTTTCTTTGTACTAAAGACAAAGGGCAGAGTTTCCACTCCAAGAGCCAAAAAAAGACCCAACACAAGATGTAGCCGTTGTTGAACCATAAACACACTTTTTAAAGGAAATGGGGATCTTGGTTCTAAGAGAACACTGTGGTGGACCAGAACCCCGATTCCTCTCTGGTTCTAGATCCTGGGTTTAGAGACTAAGGGCTTTCCTGCCCCGAGGGTGACCGGAGAAGTCCCGGAGTTATGAAGAGGCTATGGGTGTGCTGGAAAGGGCAGGCCCTGGAGTCAGATAGGCTGGGTGTAAACCCAGCTCCCTCCTTGGTATCGGTGACTTTGGGGAGCTCATTCCATCTCTTGGAGTCATTCTTCCTCACCCGTACAATGGAAATAATAACATCTATTTCTTAGGACTGTTGTGTGGATCCACAGCAGAGTTCCTGGCATATTCTAAACAATTAAGTCAGGTACTGAGAACAGTGGTAGTTTTTTAAAATTACTAATTGTGGTTTAAAATAACATAAAATTTAAGATCTTAATCATTTTAAATGTGTAGTTCAGTTGTGTTAAGAATATTCATATTGTTGTGCAATAGCTCTCTAGAATTTTTTGTCTTACAAAACTGAAACTCTGTACCCAACAACTCCCCATTTCCCCCTCCTCCAGCCAGTAGTAGTGGTTTTTGTTATTACTGACTCAGATGGTTATTATTATCAACGTGATGGCTGCTGTGATAGTGAGTGCTTCGTGCTTTGACAGCAAGGCTGATATTCTGGTTCTACTGCCCGGGAATGGGCTGAGAGGTGGCTCTGACTATATCAGATAAGTAACTGCATTAGCCCATATGGGAATCTCA